TCCAGCAGCCAGTTGAAAGAAATGTGGTAGGAGATCCACCTCGTACAGGTACTAAGGCAATGAATGGTGGATGTATGTATAAGCTAAAGGTTGGCAACACTCCAGCTCCAGAACAAAAGAATCATTAAATTGTACTATTTATGGTTTTGTTATTTAGAACTGAAGACAAGCTACAGTTAAATTGGTTTTTGGTAAAAAAAGTTTGGAATGTGAAGTCTGATTTTAAAGTTATATATATGTGTTTTTACAAACTTTTCAACAAAATCAACATTAACAGTTTTTTTATTAATAAGAATCCACACAGAAAACTGAGAAAATAAACCAAGAAACCATTTTTCTCTTAAAACAACTTTAAGGTTAAGTACACAAAAGTATATTAAAGAAATAGTTTTTTATTTTGTTAGTTCCAGTTATACAAAATATATTAAAATTTATAGGAAAAGTGTAGCAGCTTCAGAACTAACTCCAGGCTGTGGAGCACTTGGTGGTCTGTATCAAGTGCTGCTTCAGTCTCTGAGGTATGTATCAAAACACTGGCCAGCTCTGCTCAGGAGTACTGTCAACTCAATTTATAGTAATGTTTATATTAATCATGATATTACATACATAGAGTTAAAAAGAACCAATCTTTTAATTAAATAAAGGACAAAAAAAATTAGTGTTTTAGCACATTCCCTGACATTCTGTCTGCAACCCCAGATGGCAACTGTTCTTTGACTTTCAACTTTCTATCGTAGATAGGATAGGAATTGTTGCAACCCTAGACAGGAATTGAACATTAGCTTTTTTAAACAAAAACGATGAATTGTCATTGGTCCAAAAGATGTAGAAGCTCTGATATCATTGGTCAAAGATAGAGAAGACATAAAATAATGAAGATGTGTTCATGAACAAGGAATGCTGAATTTCAACTGAAATGCCATAAATATTTAAAAAATAAACTTTGTTTCTCAACATAATTCTTAAATGTTTTGAAATTTAATGCTAATTACTGGAACATTGTCAGTTGTCTGGGAATCTGATTTTATTAAATTTCTTTGTTTTATTAGGAAAAACGGATTTTAATAGTGATTAATGGAACACTTTCAGCTATCCGTAACTTTAGATCTATGAAATTTCTTCACGTGAGTTTTGAGGTTACAAATAAAAGTAAAGGGTGTCTGGCAAAAATCACAATAGAATGATTCTCTGTCTACCAGGTGAGTCTTCATGTGCCTGTTGAATGAGGACTTGTTGAAAAATCCTCGATGACAGAGGTGGCAATAAACGTCAGGTCTAAGTAGTGCCGATTGTTTGGATGATTTTCTCTTTGCTGGTACTAATCTTAATGAGCCAGCTTCTAGACCTAGGAACAAAACCAACAGTGTACTAAATCTCTATATATTTGAGTTTATACAACACAATATGATCATGTATATGAAGAAAAAATAGGTGATGTAATTTTACCACAATATAAGCATTCCACAAAGGGTACTGAAAATATCTGTAAGCTTTTAAAACAAATAATTTTACAACTTAGAAAACAATTTTTTAATAATTTGCTTATACACATTTTTTTTTATGAAAATGTAAGAGGGCCACTATTTTTAAAAGTAAACATTTTCCTACCAAGAAGTAACAAGAGATCATTTCATCTATCAGAAACTGAAGTGAATACTTAACAATAAGTAATAAAGTACATAATTCAACAATCTGTTGTAGCATCTCCACAATAATAAATAATATTGTACAGGAAATCGACCACCTGATGTAACAATTAGTCATAACAGACAATTCATACAATTTTTTATCGATTGTACATAGTGAAACTGGTCATCTGATGTAACTACAATTAATCATACCAGACAATTCAAGCAAGTTTTTATCGATTGTACATAGTGAAACTTTTATTCACAACGTTTCACTAGGCTTACCTGGCATCATCAAGTGATATATAAGAACTGAGGCTAACAGAATTTAATTTAAAAAAGAATTACATGAGTATCTCTATAAATAGTAATCTACAAGTGTGTGGCTAAGTAATTACAAACTTAATAAAGTAACTTATCAACAAATTGTCAAATTCAGGTATATACAAATAAAGCTTTTTAGGTCTAAGTATCGAAATTCGTTCTACATACAAGAGGGAAGGAACCAATTAAAATAGATATAACTGAAGATTTTGTATCTGTTAAGAATAGGATTGTTTTTTATTTTTCATCTATCAATGATGTCTTTGCTGAGGATTTTTCATCAAGAAGAATGAAAAGAATTATTTTTCCTCGATGAATTCACTCGAGTAAAAAGTTGTCTGTTAGTCTCACCAATATAACAGCTTCTGCAATCTGTACATTAAATTTTATACACATTTCCTGAAGTATCATTTATCCATATACTTTTTGGATAGTAGTTTTTCTCCAGGTACAAATGTAAATTGTACTTTAATGTCAATTTTTTACTCTGTGTTTAACCAGATTTTTTTGATAGCTTAAGTGTTTCAATCTGACCTGATGATGCTAGGTAAATCTGGTGAAACAATGTGAATAAAATAAACTTTTTAATATGTACATCCAGAAAAACAACTTATTTGAATTCAGTCATTGGATATAGCAACTTGATGAGTAATAAAACACAAGTTCCATAATCTTGTGTAATAATATTTAATAATGTTTATAAGTTCAGTAAGCTAATTTAATAACATATACAATTTAAGAACTTAAAAATAATAGTAATGTACACGAATAATCCTGTGTAACAACTTAACAATAACTAATGTACACAATTCAATAATCTGATAAAACAACAAGTAATACAAGACACTTCAACCATTTGATGTATCAACCTAACAATAAGTAATAATGAACATAACTTGAACTATCTGTTGTATCAACTTAACAATAAGTAATAATATACATAAGTTAAATAATGTGATGTAACACCTAAGTTCCATAATCTAATATATCTAATAATGGGCAGAATATGAACTATCTGCTGTAGCAAGTTAACAATAAGTAATAATGGGCACAACTTGAACCATCTATTGTAGCAACTTAACAATAAGTAATAATGGGCACAACTTGAACCATCTATTGTAGCAACTTAACAATAAGTAATAATGGGCACAACTTGAACCATCTATTGTAGCAACTTAACAATAAGTAATGGGCACAACTTGAACCATCTATTGTAGCAACTTAACAATAAGTAATAATGGGCACAACTTGAACCATCTATTGTAGCAACTTAACAATAAGTAATAGGCACAACTTGAACCATCTATTGTAGCAACTTAACAATAAGTAATTGGCACAACTTGAACCATCTATTGTAGCAACATAACAATAAGTAATGCATGTAACTTCAACCATCTGTTGTAGCAACATAACTAAGTAACAATGGACACAATTTCAACCATTTGCTGTAGCAACTTAATAAGTAACAAGACAAATTCAGCTTGTCTGATGGAACAACTTATCAAATAGTAAGAGACACAAGATCAACTATATGACATAACAATAAGTAATAATGAACACAACTTGAACCATCTGATCAACTATATGACATAACAATAAGTTGCTAATTACTTAAACACTTACTTATTAAACCTGTCTTAATCTGACACATGTTGTTATGAAAACAAAATTTATGTTTTTTCTTACAAAATAGGCTTTTATTTGAATTTAATGAGCAAAGTGATACAGTAGGGTGAACAAACAACAAAAAAATCAAATTCACATCTGAAGTGCCAACTTTACATAAGCATTGCAGAAAGAAAAACCAACTTGATATTAAAAAAGATGACTATTAGTTCAACCACTGTGGTAACCTGACATTGTGAAGAAGCACACTCATTCAGTCACCTGATTTAAGAATTTAGTAAGAACATACTTTTAGTCATGATATATCAACTTGACACAAGGTGAGAACACAAGTTCAGTCATAATACATCAACATGACACAAGGTAAGAACACAAGTTCAGTCATGATACATCAACATGACACATGGTAAGAACACAAGTTTAATCATGGTACATCAACTTGACACAAGATAATAACACAAGTTTAGTCATGATATATCAACATGACAAAAGGTGAGAACACAAGTTTAGTCATGATACATCAACTTGACACAAGGTGAGAACACAAGTTCAGTCATGATATATCAACATGACACAATATAATAACACAAGTTTAATCATGATACATCAACTTGACAAAAGGTGAGAACACAAGTTTAGTCATGATACATCAACTTGACACAAGGTTAATCATGATACATCAACTTGATGCAAGGTAAGAACACAAGTTTAATCATGGTACATCAACTTGACACAAGATAATAACACAAGTTTAGTCATGATACATCAACTTGACACAAGGTGAGAACATACATTCAGTCATACCATGTAACAGTTTGACTTGTTTCCAGTTACAGAGACAAGATGACTGACATAGGAAACATTTATTAGGCTTACATATTATACACTTTTCCCAGAGGGCAACTACTTGGCACCTATGATTTGATGCTAGTTAAGAACAAAAGTTCAAACATTTGCAATGATAACTTGTCATAAACAAGGAAACTTTCAAGTTCAACCATCAAATGTGACAAATAAGCATTACTTTAACATTATATGACACTACAAGAAACACTAGTTCAACTGTAAAAAAAAAAAATTACAAACTGGCATTACAGAAGAACTAGTTAAACTGTTTAGAATTATAACCTGTCAAAATA